GTTTACAGTGTGGATTATATCGCGTGGAAATCCGGAGACCGGGACCAGATTGATTACTATCACGCATTTGCGAATTCCCGTTTATTCGCTCTTAATTGACCATCTCGTTGGATTCGACAATATATCGTGATAAGCCCACGAATCTAATTGATGGTTAAGACATCTCTTTCTCTCTTTCTTTATTATGAATATAATACGGACTGTCAAACTGTATTAAACCGTCAACTGCTAGTTTATTGTTAGCTTAACATTGTATTATTGCTTTGAGTCGTTATTTATTCAAAACGATTCTATTTACAGTCTTTCATACTCAAATTTTTTGTTTTACGAGATCATATGACATATTGCGTAAAATAAAACGAATTTTTTTTAACATTGAGCTAGATATTCTTACAAATTCTTAGCAAAGCGAACATCAAAACACTCAGAAATGTTATCTTCAAATAGTATTCACTCGATGCAAAAACAATAAGAGAGAAGTTCCGATTGTAATTAATTGCTCCGGATTGTTTCGTCTTTTCAACTAAAGAGAAGTGAAGGAAAATTCATGATGTATTAATCTTGGCTAAAAATACTAGATACTATTTATTTTTCATTTATCTATAATTCTTTTGTCTGCATTATTACTTATTGATAAAAACGACGGCATTATATATAAGTTTGAAATGTTCTTAAAACACAGGATATTTTACAACAAATGCTATAAATCAATCTTTCAATTAAAACTTTAGATAGTTAATAAGATATCTAATATTTTTGGTTAAAACTGTATTAGAAATGTCGCTATGTAAAATAGATGAGTTAAGATCGTAATCTAAACATTTCCAAGCATTTGTAGCATTATATTAGGGTTGGTAAGTTAATGTTTTTTTCAAACTAAATTAAGTTAAAGTTAACTTACTTATAAAAATAAAATTAATAAAATTAAGTTAAAAGTTGAAGGAATAAAGAATTAACTTAAAAAAATTAAGTTAAAATTGAATTAACTTAAGTTTAAAAAAAAAGTTAATTTAAAAAAAATTATTTTTGAGATCAGAATGTCCCAATTTTTCTTATAATGAGATTACTTTAAATAACACAAATATAGATTGTTAGATAAATTTAGTTTTATATTCACATGTAAGTTACTTATATAAAGGGTGTCCCAAAATTAACGCAAGATTTGAATTAAATAGAAAACACAGTTTTTAGTCTTTTGATTGTTATTTTTTTACTGAATCATAAAGAACATAGGATAGGATTATTTGTGGAATAAAAAAAACACTTCGGGCAAATGGCCTCCACGGCTTTGCATGCACATACGCACTCGAAATTTTCCATGACCATTTTGCATAAATGTGGCTGAATTTCGTTGATGCAGCGTTGAATCTCCTCCTTTAATGCACGGGTAGTTGTGGGCTTGTTGACATAGACCTGTGATTTCAAATAACCCAATAAAAAGAAATCTAATGGTGTTAAATCACACGATCTAGGGGGCGATTTTGGCGATTAACAAAGCCATCAAGGTGAAAATGTGCTTCATCGCTTAGGATGATTTTGCTCGAAAAATCAGCATCCATTTGTTGATGTTCAATAATCCATTTTCACGCTCCATTTTCACTAACCCTTAACTGTCAGCTGTTAAATTGTTTTTTTTTTGGGTTGCCAACACTTTACTGCACAAATGGCGGCAAATTCAAATCTTGCGTTAATTTTGGGACACCCTTTATAATAAGAGTCACGTCATAAGGCGTTTTTGTCAAAATCTTGCGAGAGAGAAAGGTATATGTTTGCATTATTTCTCTAACTTTCTTTAACTTCTGAATCGTCTGCACATGCATGTGTACAACTACATCGACTAGATACTTGTTACAAAAATATACGTAAAAATTTAGAAAATGGAAGGATGTGCAGTATACTGTTCTACAACAATTCTTCATCTAAAGCTCATCTCATATTTATGTTGCTGAAATATAACGTTTATGATACCTAAAATTAGTGCGATTTAACATAAAAATATAAAAATGGAAATTAACAAAACCTAATCAATAAAAACTGACTACCATATGGTGTTACTCTTATTACAGATCTCTCATCACAAAATCATTGAACTTTTTCTAAATTAATTCTCTAATGTTTGACTTTATAGAAAAAAAAAAATATTAGCGTTAAGAGAGATAGAAAAATTTTTAATTTAAAAAAAAGTTAATAAATTAAAGATAATTTAAAAGTAACTGAATTAAGTTAAAAATTATAATGCATTAAAATTAACTAAGTTAAGTTAAAAGTTATTAACTTTTTAACTTTTTTTTTTAACTTTTAACGTTTTAACTAGTTACCCAACTCTGCATTATATAGACAAATATTCTAAAACTATTGCTTATTGATGTTTGTTGACGAGAACCTGCAGAGTATTACCAAATCCTCGAGTTCGTTATCTCAACGAACAGTTGCGAACGTCGATCGCGGTCTGCTCGATTAAACGATTGAAGAACGACAATCTGCATTCGTCGTTTATCGTTCTAATCTAAAGATACGTTCGGATACAATCAAAAGGAAATACCTTGCAGCGTATTGACATAGACGTATCTAGAATTACAAGTGACATTAAAAAGATATTTCCATATAGATTAATTCGACTGATAATTTGCTGATATGCAAAAGGAATCGAATTAACGGCAGAATAAATATCATTACCGACTACATTCTAGAGTGCTAGCGAGAGATAGAAAAGTTTTCTTCCAATATTAACTCTTTCATGACTACATTAATTTTATTTTGCACCGTATAAGTAAGATGTCAGATATGGATTATGGGTGGAACGGGGGCATCCATTAAATTATCGAGAGAAATTCTTAATGGGACACATATGTTTCATTGGTCACGAAAGAGTTCAATGATAGAGGATGACGCAAAATGTTGCGCGTAGGGTCGTGCATAAAAGAAGATCGGTCTACGGTCGTACTATGTACAGCTAAAGCTACGTTTTTAAGTTTGGCTATGTAAAGGCTAAATACCGGACGTTGCAGGGTGGTAACAGGGCTGACAGGTGGGGGCAAGGCATGATGCTGGCGGTGTCAAACACCAGCGCAAGAAGATAGTCGGCTTGGGCTAGAGCGAGAGAAACGGGGAGGCAGAGAAAGAGGCAGAGGGTAGAGACGAGACTCGTTCGTTTCGTTTCGGAGGCTGACGGCAGAGATGAGATGGGATGAGATGAGACGAGACGAGAAGAACGGGAGAGGAGCGATGGAAAGAAGGCGGCCGAAAGGGGAAGAAAGAAATAAGGAGAAAGCGAGGGAGAAAGAGAAAGAAAGAAAGGAGAGGATCGGAAGAGGTGTGGAAGTGAAGGAAGGGTGGATAAGTAAGGATCAAAAAGAAGAGAAGAGAGAAACAGAGAAGGCGAGTTGTAGCGGAATAAAAAAGAAGAGATATAGCGAGGGAAGGAGAAAGGAAGGAAAGAGAAGAAGAGCGTCAAGCGAAGAAAAGAACAGAAAGAAGTAGAGAGGCGAGAAAGAGAGAGAGAGAGAGAGAGAGAGAGAGAGAGAGAGAGAGAGAGAGAGAGAGTGGAATAAACGGATGGGCCAACGTTGGCGAGTAGGAAAGAGGAAAGGAAGGAGGGCGATTGGTCGGCATGGATGAGACTCGTGAGACGAGCAAGGGGGAACAGCCGAAGCGCGGTGCACGGTCGAGACCAAGGGTGCCAGGGCAAGGGGGGAAAAGAACTAAACCAGGGGTTGGGGGCCACTAGCGAGGAAATGGTGGGGGGCCGAAGAATTGGCGAGGACCAGGGCCTCGAGTCGAGCGAGCGAGCGAGCAAGCGAGCGAGGGGAGGAGGACGAAGATGAGGACGCGGATGAGGACGCGGATCAGGAGAACGAGGAGGAGGAAGTGACGAGGAGCAGGAGAAGGAGGAAGAGGGCGGAGGAGGAGAAGAAGGAGGAGGAGGAGGAGGAGGAGGAGGGAGGAGGACGTCTGGTGGTACGCGGAGGGGTGTCGCGGGGGACCCCGTACGGCACGGAGGGTAGGGGTTGTCGCCCCTCCGCGGCGTCAGCCCCGCTAGCGTGGTCGAGAGGAGCGGGGGCCGGGTTAAACCCCCTCTCCTCACGTCGCGAGGTTCCTATGAATTTTGCGACACTCAATAAAAAGTGGTTCCACGAGGTTAACATTTCGGTAACTATACCCTCGCCTACCCGGGACGCGCACGCACGCACGCACGCACGCACGCACGCATGCAGCGTACGACACAACGATAAGACGGATCGGACGGACGTGTACATACATATACTTACGTACGCATATAGACAGACGGCCGCATGTACACTCGCTCATTCTCGCACGCTCAACCCTCTCTCTTTTTCGCGCGCAGGGCCACTCTTCGGCGTACATCACGGGGGCCACGCACTCACGCACGCACGCACGCACGCACGCACGCACACACACGTACACGCGGGTGCAAGCGGGCGGCACGCTCTCGTGTTAAAAACGAGGGAAGTGAGAGAGGGATAGGAAGAACGGCGCGGAGGGAAGGAGAACGAAAAAGAGCTCTTCGTGTAGATAGAAAGAGGAAAAAGAGGTGGAACACAGTAAGAGAGCGAGAGAGAGAGAGAGAAAAGAGAGAGAAAGAATAGCATACACGCGCGCGGGAGCGCGCTCGCGGGCACTCGGCACGCACACATGCACACCGCGCGCGCACGCATACCACAGGACTGCCGAAAAAACTGCACGGGAGAGGCGCAGCAACGGGCAAACCGAACCGCGCGCGAATCAAGTGCTTTGGCCAGTCGCGTTCCCAATCACTCTACGACTAGGTAGTCCCCCGGTGTGTGTCCCAAAGAAGCGGCGAGGAGAGCAGCTGGGTCCTTCGATCCTCGACGTTCAACCGGCGCGCAAGATAATACACGCAGGACATTCTAACACCGACAATTGTTATCGTTTGCGCGCTCTCTCTCCCTCTCCCTCTCTCTCTCTCTCTCTCTCTCTTTCTCTGTTTCTCTCTCTCTCTTTCTCTCTCTCTCTCTCTCTCTCTCTCTGTCGCGTATCGTAATTCTGCGGCACGTGTTACGCATTAGAAGGTGTTAACAATTAAATTTTCCTCCTTCGCCAAATCCAAATCGTGTTTCTTCCCCCATTTCTCATCTCTTCGTCATCACGCTTCTTTCTCGCCGTTTTCGCTCGACGAGGATCATCGTGTAGTTTTTGCAAGTTTTGGAAGAATAAGTTAAACCCCCGGCGTATATCGAGAAAAACAGAGAGAGAGAGAAGAAGAAGACGACGAAGAAGAACAAGAAGAAGAAGAAGAAGTGTGAGTTCTTCAGTTACATCGATAACACGAGGGACAAGGCGGAAAAACAGTGCGCGCCCATGCGTGTATCGACGGGATCGCGAGTACGCGTTACGGTGATCCAGTTACGCGCGTTCTACACGCGAAGAAGAGGGAAAGGGAGAGGATTTCCTTGAGGAGAGAGAAAACGGTCCTCGGTCACGGTGTGAGTGATGCTATCTAGGGTACATGCGCTACTAAATCTCGTCTAACGTTTTCTTCGAGTCCGATTGGTGTGTTCCCTGGGGATCGTATCTCCGCGCTTATCTCAAGTGATCGACGTAGCTCCGTCGTGGATCTGAAGAGGATCCCGTGATCGGGAACGTAAGAAGAGCGCGAGAGGGAAAGTGCGCCACGTCAATTTGAAAGAGAGCCGCGAGGAAGAGGAATGAGAAGGTAGCGCGAGGAAGATTTTTTTTTTGTTTCGTTACGCGATATCCACGTGTCTTCGAGATCGTCTTTGGGTGATCCAAGGGTGATGTTTGTGAGGCGAGTGTGAAAAATCGGAGGAAATTAGGATCCATCGATTGAACGAGGCTCGACAGTGGAACACATGCGATTGTCTCGTATGTCGTCGTACAGTCGCTAAGCGATTGTTCGTTCGTCCGTCAAGAGATTCTTCCGATCGAGACGTCATAGAGACGTACGATAAGAGATCAGCGGATTTGTGAAAATTGAAGGAAACCTGGTCGGGAGGAAAGAGGCAAGCGAGAGAGAGAGAGAAAAAAAAAACAAAACGAGAGACAAGCGCATCTGTCTCTACTCGGCGAGACACATTTCGGCACGGCTGGAAGAAATCGGCGGAAGTTGGAGGAAAGACGTTCGCCAACCCCCACCCACCCCCCTCCCCCTCTCCTTTCCTCGGCCAACGTCCGATCCGTCATCTTCGCCGTATTAGAACGATAGAATCACGGGGCTTAGCATCGACGACAAGGACGCCGGGCAAAGGAGGTCCAACACTTCACTTCTCGCTTGACGATCAAGGTACGTTCACAGCTGAGACCGGTGGCCTTCGGCTGCCTGTACGGCTTCCACGGTATATGCGGTTGCGCTAGAGACAGAGGAAGAAGTTTAGGGAAGACAGACAGGAGGGAGGGGAATGGAGTAGAAGTGAGACGAAAGAGCGTAGAAGGAGGAGGGGAGGCTTGCTTAATAAGAGAGAAAGAGTAAAAAATTCGGGAGGGGGTACTTAAAGAGGGAGGGGGGGACGGAGGCAGGGAATAAGAGGATAAAAGGCGAAAATCCGGCAAGGGGAAGAGGAAGAAGGCGCGATTA